TACACAAAACAAAATCCTAAATTAGTCAGACACGGTTCTGAAAATATACCAGTATAATCTCCACCAAGGAAAAAATTTAACATATATCTGTATACATATGTACACGAGTATATTCAACATCCAAAAGAAAACTACATATAGGGATACTCTTATTGAGCCCATTATGCATTGTATTTTAATGATTCGAATTGTCTATTATTTAGATATTCATTTAAAAATTATCCCCGTAAAAAATCATTTGAATCCAAACCATTTCATCACTCAATATAATGGTTATCTTTTTAATTTTTTGAAAGCACCGTATTTGTTTATTTTGTGGGTCACTATGCCTTAATGGTTTCCGATTTGTCTAATTTTTTTTGCAAATATAATCTATGAAGTATGAATGAAGACCTGTGAAATAGACAGTCGAATTGTTGAAATGAAATTCATAGTGGACACCCCATAAGCAGAATTTGAAGAATCCCTCAATAGTTATTCCAATCAACTCTTGTGAAAATGCTATAATGAGGGGGTTGTGGGATCCCACTATCCAATAAATATAATCTATGGAGTACTAATGAAGACTTGTGAAATAGACAGTCGAATCGTTGAAATGAAATTCATAGTGGACACCGCATAAGCAAAATTTGAAGAATCCCTCAATAGTTATTCCCATAAACTTTTGTGGAGAGGCAATAATGAGGGGGTTTGTGGGAGAGGTTCAATCCCACTACCCAATAAGAGAGAGAAAATATTGTACCTCAACCCCCTTACCAAAATCCCCCTCATTATAACATCTCTCTCCCCCAACTCTTTGATCTTGTACTTAGCATGAGCACAACTAGCTATTTTCTCCCGTGGTATAGCCGAGCCCATTTTTTGGTGAAAGAAAACATTGCCCATCCTATGCCTAAAGCCCACTCCACAAGTATATTATTAAACCACGTTTCTTCTTGTATTAATTTTTTTATTATTTAAAACATGCTTCTTCATCTTCTTTTTAATTTTTTATGTCAACGAGCATGTAAAAGACCCAATGGCTTGCGATACAACTTAAGTTATGTCAGCTCTTCAACCTACCAAAATATTTGGACTTAGCACATTTTATCCAACTGACTCACAGTTTCATCCAATTAAATTCATGATTTTCAGGTTTGAATTGTGCCTTGACTATTCTAATTGTCCACTCTACTTTTTTTTTTTAGTTTAATATCACAAAACGTCTCTAAGATTTACGAAACTAACATATTGCATCTTTATTGTTTATTTTTTTGGTCATTCTTGGTCAAGGTTAGCATGTGTGCTCACAAATGGTCCATGCTATTAAGTTTTGTGAAAAACTTCATTAGTTTGCTGACGTGGCATATATATATATATATCACAAAACATCCCTGAAGTTCATACACCTATCACAAATGGTCCATGCGTTTTTTTTATATAAATTTTTTCATTTAAAATTCATAAAATTTTGATTTCTTTTTTAAATTTTATGAATGTTAAATTATTTAAAAATATATATTGTATTTTAAATACACATGACACTATATTATTGGAAATGTGGGCTCTACATATATGCCACATCAACAAACTAATGGAGTTTTTTTTTAAAACACATTAAAATTCATGAAATTAAAAAATTAAAAAAAAACCAACATTTTATGAATTTTAAATTATTTAAAAAATATATATATATTGTATTTTAAATACATGTGGCACTATACTATTGGAGATGTGGGTCCACGTATATGCTACATGAGCAAACTAAGAGAGTTTTTTAAATTTAGAAAGGGTTTAGTGATATAAAGTTTTCATAAAATTTAAAAATGAAAAAACCTTGGTGCATAAAATTTTGGTTTTTCATTTCTAAATTTAAAAAACTCCCTTAGTTTGCTCATGTGACATAGATGTGGAGCCCACATCTCCAATAATATAGTGCCACATGTATTTAAAATACAATATATTCTAAAATAATTTAAGAAAGGAAACCAAAAATTTATGAATTTTAAATAAAAAAATTCGAAGGGACCATTTGTCAACAAACCTGCTGGAAACCTGCTGGAAAACGAGAATTGCTTTATATTTTAGAAAATATGCCATGCCGTTCAATTTTATTAGGCAGAATAAAAAATTTATAAATTGGTATGGAACTTAAGTATTATTGGACATAAATTTGAAAGTGACATGATCACTAAATTTGTGGTCTTAACATAACACACAATGACCTAGACAATGTGCTTATAGTTTAAGTGGTTAAAAGTATTTATCCATATACCTGAGGTCCGAGGTTCAATTTCTCATTTCCACAATATCGCTCGCTTATATTTGAAAAAATATTCACTTAGAAATTTTTTTAATTGAAATTCTACAAATAAAACCTGCACTTTTTTTTGTTTTGAATTGATTGAGTAATATTATGTGAACTGTAAAGAGATTATTATTATTTTTTTGTCTGGTCAAAGTAGAGAGATAAGTTGGACATACAAATATAAGATAAGACGATAGATGATAGGTTTAGGTATGAATAGCTATTTTCTGTTTATTTACGAATATCTTTAGGAACAGTATGCACGGCAGTCTTGGGGCAGTACAAATAGTTCATAAATCTATGTATAATGATTGTGTTTTTTTCCATTATTGGTTAGAATCTATATTGTTTGTTGGACTATTACCATAATGGTATTATATTTAAAATAAAATAAACGTATTTTTCCCCCTTTGCTCTGACATTTATTTAAAAAGCCCATCACGTTGGTTTTGGATTGGGCATTTTGTTCAACCCAAAGCTGTCATCGATCAGGCCCTGAAACTGATCAGACCTTGACTTATCATCTGATGCATAACAACATCATTTATGACAGTTGTTTGTGATTACTCCACTGGCCCTTCCCCACGATTTTCTGCTTCTCTCTCTTTCTCTCTCTCAACCTCTTACACACGATATATACATATAATACACAAATATCTTATATGTTTCTTGGTCGATTGAGGACATCAAAGACCTTATCAAAAATAAATCTGGTTTTTTATTCTCTTTTCTTGGTCGTCGAGCGAATGAGGTTGCACACCGACTAGATCGTTATGTTTTGTTTAGTGGAAATAGAGTTGAGTGGTTTGAGGAATCACCCGATTTTATCCTCGATATCTTACTTTTTTGTTATAATGATTCTTTCTAACAAACTAATAACGAGATGTAGAAGTAAATAAATAATCCATTCCTACCATTTAATCCTCCCACATTTTTACTTATTTTTTTATATTACAAGTTTTTCAGTATATGATAGGTTAGGTATAAATAGTTCTTTCCTGTTCACCTGCAAATATATCTTTTGGGACAGTACACAGCACAGCATTCTTGGAATTTATGTAAGATTCTTTCATAAATCTATATATAATGATTGCGTTTTTTTCCATATTTGGTTGGACTATTACCATAAATGGTCCCATCACGTTGCTTTTCTTCAACATTTTGTTCAACGAAAGTTGTCAATGAGCAGACTGGGAGGAAAACCAACACACACACTTCCTTGACTTGTCCTCTTCCTGCATCATCTGATGCATTTGATTCTTTCTGACAGTGGTTAGTGAATGCTATAACTACACAAGGCCTTCCCCCTTGGAACCTCTTACATTACACATGATAATATACATATAATAGACAGAGTAGGTCCATTGATTTTGGAGGCCCTGTGCAAATATGGATGTCGAGGCCCTATATATACAAGTAGGAAGAAAAAAATCCATATAGAAACAAAAATTTATGACACGGGAAGAACACATTCGGAAAGAGCTTCCCAGAAAAATTTCTTTAGTCACCCTTTCAAATCACAGAGCTGATAAATTGATTTTCCAATTTCAATGCTTGGTGAATTCTCATGTGAATAAGAGAGGGAGAAAAGAACTGTGATTTTGGGGAAATGGCTAAAGCTTGGGTTTTTACAATCCAAAATTTGATGGAAGAGGGTGGTACACTAGTACTGAAGAGAAATGGCTTTATTTTGATGGAGGAGAGTGAGAAAGACTTACCGAAAGAGAAAAAAATATTAGAATGGTTTTGTAGCTTGAGAGTTGGGAAGAGGAAAACACAGGTTTCAAACCATAATAAATAAATAAAAAGAAGAGTTGCAGAGTGAGAGTTGGGAAGAGGAAAATGAATTAAATTAGGGCATCTACTCTCTAAGTCGTAGAATTTGTTGATAATTAATATTCAATTCAATTTTTGTTTTGGTGCTTTGCATGTGGTGTTGTGGGGTGATATTTAATATTTCATTTTTATTTTCATGTTTTAGTTAATTTAATGGGTTGACTTGGAAAAATTTGGAGGCCCCTAATTGGGGGCCCTGTGCAATCGCACACCTCGCACACCCCATGAGCCGCCTATGATAATAGACAAATATCTTATATGTTTCTTCGTCAACAGACGTATATTTTATGTTATGCATAATGCAGCTCATTCATCAACTCTTGATCTTGTATTCACCAAGGGCACAGCCAGCTATTTTCTCCCATGGATATAGCCCAACCTAGTTTTTAGCCCAACATTGTCAAATAAAGAAAGTAGAAATTTAGCCCATCCTTATTCCTAAAGCCCACTCCATGCTACGATCCCACGCTTGTATTAAATTATGGTTTATAACGCCTGATAACACTTTTACGTGACATTACATAATTGGATAGGGATAGGAAAACAGTGTTATCCCTGTTGCATGTCCTCAAGGGTATGCAAAAGACCCCAAAGGTTTGCCATGTAGCTTATGTCAACCATTCAACTCAAGGAGGCCAATTTACCACCCAACTACATACCAAGAAAATTTAAACCCTAGCAAAATATTTGGACTTGCACATTCATTCCGTCATTTGAAATATCATTCCTTTGAACAATTCATTCTATTGTTCAGGGGGGGAAAAGAGTGAGTAACGAAATAATTGAGAAAACAAATTTAATGCATTTTGATAATCTCTCAATAAATAAAAAATAAAAAAGTAGGAATATCAGGCCGTCTAATTGGTGGTGGCGCCTTTCATATCTTGGTCCGACCGCTGTGATGCTTACGCGTAGACCCATATGAAGGCGACGACATTGGATTTGGCAAACCCTCATTGTCAAGAGAGCCGATGAATGTTTCCCAGTATTCCTTGGCTTCTTTATTTTCTTCCAACATAGTATATATAATTGCCTGAAAATTTCAAAGTAACAAGGATGAGATTCTGATAGCTGTTTTTCTTTTTAATTAGTAGGTATAATAGCTTGCAAGAATGAATGAATGACCTTATATAGATGAACCCGACCATCCGATGAAAAAGCGTGGTCCTTGTTGAGACAAATCCATTTCAAAGCTTCTTGGTACTTCCCCTACACAAGCAGAAACACATTTGCATTTGCTTATATATATCCTAGCAAGAAATGTGAATATGGAAGAAGAAAAAGCGTTGTCTTTGTTGATGACGTGCTACTATAAATCAAGGTCTTTCATACTGAATTCGGCTATATATTTTAGCGTGTTGTCTTTGTAACTGCAATTTGACAAACCTGGAAAATGAGAATTGCTACCAGTGCCATCTGCACATTGTAAGCAGACTCCGTTTTACCTCCCTTCACCATGTCATTGTATATATCTCGAAGTTGTCTCTCTGCTCTATCACCCTTTCCATCTTTGATCAGCGCTGCTGCTTGAATCTACAAGCAGTGCACTAAGTTAGCAGCAAGTACACTATATAAATTCTAGCTAGGCTATGTGGATACGTACGTTCTTTAATCGATATTACAGAAAATGTAACGATAGTATATATGTCAGTACGTTTTTGTTGGTGACAACGATACATCGAGAATTAAAGATATAAAGGTGAAATATCTGATATCTTAAATTTACCAATTCATTTTGCTTGCTACTTAAATTAAATGGATGTGACCAATGTTTTGTTGGTGTTATTTATGGCACCTCCGCATAGATTTCTCATGAAATAAACAAACATACAAGGGTTCAAGAACGTTAATTCTTCAAAAGAAAGGTAATTGTTCTAGCTGTGTGGCTTGAGCTTGCCTGTGAGTAGACAAGCTCATAAGAGTAATGCCAGGAAAGGCAATTTTAGTGCGCATTTTTATGTTATTAGACTCTAAAATAAACTAATGTAAACCTTTTAGTTCTATAATTGTAGTTGTTTACCCCAAATCTGACAGTACAAACTAATAACAGAGTGTGTATGGATGGAAGAGTATACCGTAAGATCTTCACAATCTTTTATGGAAGGCTCCGGAGGCGACTTGAGATTTTTAAAATTTGGGAGAATCGAGGTTTTAGATGAGGCAACGTTCTCATTCACCATCAACAAGGATTGTAACACGTCCTTGGCGCTTTTCGGATACAATATGTCTTGCTTTACAGAAGAACGACTTGTCTGGTATGGGTCCCTAACACCTGCAATAGCTCTTGGGGTGAACTTGTAGTTGCAATTCATGATGCCAAGGACACAGGCCAAAACCACAGAGGCACCGCCTATGCCTCTCACAATTAACTTTTTATCATCTTTGTCATTTGCTGAAGGTGTTGAGGGCTTGTTAAGAGCAGAAATCACAGGGCCGAAGGCATGCCCTGACACGGCACGGTGTGTGGAACACAAGGAAGAAAGTGAGAGAGGAGAAGGGTTGTTGAAATTGGGAAGGAGCCTCGGCACCCTAGTCACTCTCATGGGGGAAGGCACACATAGAGCACCATATTGGAGACACAGTGCAGAATCCATGAAATAATTTGTGCTGTTTTGAGGGTTTAAAGTACTAGGTAGCAATTGTAGAGTTAATGAACAATACTAGTATTTATTTGGTCATAATCTGAAATGGCAAGGACTGAGCATGTCACGCCCCACGCACCGGACCCAGGGTATGACAGAATATGAGTATGAGGGCATTTCAGGAGTGAAGTAAGGTATCACTTTGTTAGTCAAGGCAAGGCATCAACATCATGTCCTTTTGTAATACAGAATTTTTCTTTTGGCAAAAATGAGACCAACCGTACTTTGTCTAAGTACTTTGGCAAAAAACAAAATGTATGTTACACATTCTTGAGGTGTGAGTAAGAATTTTTCAGAAAAAAAAATAGTTCTCTATATGTAGTCCAGGGTGACGCAGCGAGATATAAAGAAATAGAGAGATCAAACAATAACCCTACAAGTAACACGCCAGAATCCACCAGCAAACTGGAATCCGTACTTTGGCAAAAAACAAAATGTGCTACACATTCTTGAGGTGTGAGTAAGAATTTTCCAGAAAGAAACAACAGTATTACATTGTGTCTCTCTAATCTTTTTGATACAGTTCCCTATATGTAGACCAGGGCCTTAACCAGATACTGGCAAAATGCTTTGCTTGGAAGATAAGAAATCCCAATAAAGCATTGGAATAAGTTATTGCTTCTCATCTAGGAGACGAATGAACTTCTCTGACAGCTTGCAAAATCCCACCTTGCAAGACTGAAATCAGAATGATTTCATATATTTTCCCAAGTATCAATTACAGCTTTTCTAAATAACTTGCCAATCACATGGCACCATCCTTTTTCCTCACATATTTCACAAATTTATGGTAACAATACATAACATAATATAAACGAAAAATCTCACTAGAACAAACGTTAACATGGTGAATTTCTCCAAAAGTTTCAGTGTTAGAACTAAATATGGAGCGATGGCAACCGTGGTCTTTGCCAGCATTTATGTTGTAGGGGCTTACATATCTCGCGCCCGAAAAATGAGCAAAGAAGAGCATCAAGGCCCTCGACTTACAAGGTCCATGTCCATAGCAGTCCTCCATGGAGGGCAGCTTGCCTTGCAGAGATTGTTTGAATATCACGAAGCTCGAGCTGACAAATCTGCAGTGGAGATTGCTGAATGTGAGCTGAAGACTCACCTTGCAGAACAACACCCTGATTACAAGAAGCTGCAGGTTAGGCATCATCTCAGAATATAAATAGTCCACAATGGCATGATTAAATTTCAAGTTTATTAAAATGTTTTTTTTTCTTCTCTTAATATCAAATTAAGATGCTTGAGTTTACTAGCTAGCTTTGTTTCTTTGCCTATGAAAGTCGGTTATTGGGAAGCTTGAAATGAGTGGGAAAGAAGCCCAAGCAGTTGAAATATTAAAGAAGGCAACAGCAAAGGCACGCAATGAAGGAAGAAACCATGAAGCATATGAATACGAGATGTTACTTGTAGAAATGCTTATATACAAGGTAAGTAGTTGTTACAACTATTTTTACTTATAACATTCCAATTCATAAAGAAAATTTTACCTTTCTTCTTTGGTTTTGATGGTTGTTATGCCGTAGGGAGATTTTAAGGAGGCACTCGGCTGTGAATGCTTGAGACATGCTGAGATTTCGGATGCACGGCGTCCGCTGTTCAAGGTATGAGAAGTTTACCTTGAACTTTTCTTGGCAACGCACCAATCAAACCCAGATGAACGTAACAATAAGTTAACATGATTATAATTTTGTATTTCCATGTTTTCAGGCTATCGTTCACATCATAGAGTGCAACAAGAATGAAGGGACAAAATATTGGAGAGAATTTAACAATCTAAAAGAAGAATTCCACTGTCTACCGAGTATAAAAGAAAGCATGGAAGAATGCCAACTCCATAAACTCAGTACAAATTTCAACGAGTTTGAGAAGGTCGTCCACATGCTCAAAAAGGACATAATAGAGGTACAAGCAAAAAGAAACAAGAAATAAGAGATGAGCTTTTAGCTATTGACTTTTCCTTGACTCAAAAAAGGAAGTTGTAAAAGAAAAATCACACTCGCAAAAATATAGTTCATAGGGAATTGATTCATGTTTGGTGTCGTAGTACTAAATAAGAATTCTATAGTGAGGGTTTTATCTAAGATCCTTAGATGATGTCCTATTTCGTTAGATTAAATTCCTTATAGAATGACTCGAGTACTAAATCTAAAGTTCATTCTAGATCTTCAATGAACAGAGCATTACTTTTTCAGGTTTGAAAATCTTTATTATTTAGAAGTCCAAAGGCGAGCTCAACAACTAGTACAAAAGACAAAGTATGGATAAGTTCTAGACATTATTGCTAAAGATAATTCTTTTAAAATCATGTCTCATAATATTCTCTGTTTTGATTTTCTCTGCCATGATCCTCCATATCAATCACTAATAGCAGGTCTAAAGAATGATGTGTTGACAATAGTTGGGGGTTAGGGTATATTTTTTTTCTTTTTTAATTAAGAGTAAATTGGGCTTTTGTTTGAAAAATGATATGTCAACTTTTAAGTCATTTCAATTAAATTTTAATAAGATGACATATGGAGAATAAAAGTCAAGTAGATCATGAAAGAGAAAATCAAAACAGAGAATCTGAGTCCATTCCAATGTACAACTACCTCAACAACATATATAGAACATGATCTTCAGGTCCAATATTCCCAAGGCAAAGACCAGGCCCTAAATGCGAGCCCAAAAACTAGTACAAACACATAAACCAAACTAAAATATGATTAGACAAGATCATGAAGGACCACAAACATAATTTTTTTAATTAAAAAAAACCCAATGAAAAACATTTTTATCAGCTGCTATTGATAATTCGATAAATTAGTGTCCAAATCAGACCTGCCATTAGTGATCGATATGGAGGATCAAATCAACTCTACCTTGCAGGTCATCAAAGAAACTTGATTAGTATCTTTCTTAAAGCAAAAGGCACTTCTAATGTTTTTGTGTGATGATGATTATCCTTCATCATCTCCCTCCCAAGTCCTAAAGTCTCAGAAGGCCAATGATGCAGCATTGAAAATGGAGCTGTCCACTAAATTGGGAATGCAATCCCTTGTACATTACACATAATAATAGCTTTTGAAGTTAGGCCACTTCATTAATTTTCCCCTCTTAGCAAAATTTAATAGGACTTTAAAGTTAGGCCGCATTATTCTTAGTATGTGTAATGATATATTGCCACTTAATTCAAGGGTTAAGAGGACCCATTCCTTGTGAAACCAAGTACATTAAACCTTGGCAAAGCCAACGGATCCATAGCTCAATGGTGAGAGCATTTGTGAGTAGAGAGAGAAACTCTCATGTAACGGAGATAACACTTTTTGCTATCTCTGACAAATAATATAATGACATGTAGGATAATTTTTTCATATGTCATTGTGTTATTGGTCGGGAATAGCAAAACAATGTTATCCCCGTTACATATAAATTTTTTTGGCAGATCAATAATCTCATGCTCAAATTCCAATGACATCCCCTTCCAAACTTTGAAAAAAAAATTCTTACCAAAAGCAAAAGATTGTAACTGAAGCTCCCATACATCATCAAACTAGCTATTTCTTCGATCAGATCAACAAACTAGCTGCTTCTTTGACTTCTCTTCCAGGGGCAATTTGGGCAACTAGTTAACATGTGGTGTGGGGATTATCTTATGTTTTTTTTTAATAATTTAATTAAATAATAATAAAGAATCTGCCAAAAAAGAAAGAACAATAGAATAATAGATAAATGAGGAATATAAATCAAGGCGATAAACTTATGAATTTTATGGGGAAAGCAACGTCCACTCCTCTGCTCTTTCAATCAAAGTTGGTCTGTTTCTCTCTGCTCTACCTCTTCACCTCTCTGTTTCTAGCTATCTACACCTCTCTCTCCCAAACCAAATGCCTCTTCAGATCCTCCCCTTTCGACCCAATTCAGGCCCCTCTCTTCTCCTACCCTGCAACCTATGGAGAGCACAAGTATGCAATCCCAACCCACCGTAACACTTGCTCGTCCCCTGTCTTTTTCTCAGGTACCCGCCATTTTTTGAGCTCATTTTTCTTCAATGTTGGCATTTGATTGTTTTGTTTGGAGATTTTTGTAAATGGGTTTTTGTTTTTGTGCTCAGATTATTGGATGGTCTTGAAGGAGATCCAAAATTTGTGTAAGAATTCTTCATGGTCTTCATCGGGTTTGAGGTATATGCAGGGCAAGGCTGAGACTTTTGCAGGAAATTTCAGTACCCAAGATAGAATTCCCTATTTTGTTCATTATAATGATAGCATTGAATTCCCTTGCGGGTTTTTGAAGAAATTTCCAATTAGTAATTCTGGTTAGTTTGGTACCCAAGCAAGTTCGATAAAGTCTCAATTTTTATCTCCTTGCTTTTTAAATTCAGCTACATTTATGACTAAGCCTGTTATTTTGTATGTAACTCAGATCGAACAGATATGGAAAACTGCGAAGGAGTTGTAGTGGTCTCTGCGATCTTCAATGACCATGATAAAATTCGACAGCCCCGAGGCCTCGGATCGAAAACCCTAGACAATGTGTGTTTCTTTCTGTTTACAGATGATGTAACCCTCAAAGGACTTGTCTACCATAGATTAATTCCAAGCAAATCCAAAAACTATAAGATAGGAGCATGGAGGGTTGTCAAGGTTTTGAGCAAGGGATTGTATGAGAATCCAGCAATGAATGGTGTCATACCAAAATATTTAGTCCATAGGCTCTTCCCAAACTCAAAATTCAGCATTTGGATAGACGCAAAGTTGCAGCTGATGGTTGATCCATTGCTGCTGATTCATTCACTTGTTGTGTCTGAGAATGCAGACATGGCAATTTCAAAACATCCCTACTATATTCATACCATGGAAGAAGCAATGGCAACTGCAAGGTGGCAGAAATGGTGGGATGTTGATGGCTTGAAGAAGCAGATGGAGACTTATTGTGAGAATGGTTTGCTTCCTTGGAGTCCCAGCAAGCTCCCCTATCCCTCAGGTATACCACTTGCAGATAAGTTATTAGATTTCAGATGTCACTTTCAACGTTTATGGTGTTGTTTTCTTTTGAAAGCATCCATCCGACGGTCATTTAATGATACAGCTATACTGCAACTGTACGCATACTTTAGGAACTATAACCTGTGATGTCTGTACAAGAGGTAGGTGCCAATTTTACAGGATAGCCATCAAATTACTGGTTTTGGTGTTTGAGAATAAGCTCTAATCTGGGAATATTTTATTTCTTGTGAGAGGAAAAAGGTTGAAATTTCTTCTCTTTTGCTCCTTGTTACACCCAATCCATCTTGTAAAAACGAAGACATTTGAAGAGGTAGGTGCACTTGGTGAAAGCTATCTGTACAACGTGGTCCAGAAATTAAAAAAATAGTGTGATCCAATGTGGTCCAAGCAAGCAACTTGCAAATCATGGCACGGTAACACAGTTCACAATGCATTGGGATGGGAGTTTCAAGGGCAGATTATATTACATTATGTCTTTGCCTACAGCAACTTGATAAATTAATTCATTGGGTCTTTGCGTATTTTCTTCTCTTGGGTTTACTTGAATTTTGCATGCACTGCATGCCGATCGACTAGATTATCTCTTTCCTTTTCTGGGTACAGGAGCTAATTATGACTTTGGTATTGGTATTTGGCAGATGTACCAGACAGTGCTCTAATTCTGAGAAGACATGGATTGAGGAGCAATCTATTCTCCTGCCTGCTGTTCAATGAGTTGGAGGCTTTTAACCCAAGAGACCAGTTGGCTTTTGCATACGTGAGAGATCTCATGAGCCCAAGGCTGAAGCTGAACATGTTTGAAGTGGAAATCTTTGAGCAGATTGTTGTTGAATACAGGCACAACATAAAGCGCGGAGGTGGGGCCAGTGGCAGACAAGAGGCGGGGCCCAAAGGACCCAAAACCAAAAAGACCAAAAGGGCAGGCCCTGATTTGTTGTATGTTAATGGCAGCTGTTGCAGCAAGTGCCAGAAGTATCTTTTGGAGATGTGGGGTGAATCCGAGAGTTAATTTTTTTTGTCTCTAGTTTGCGAGCCTGCACGTTCCACAGAGGAGAAGGGGAAAAGAGACAGAGAAAGAAGATAGAAAACAAAACAAAGCCTAATCAATGATTAAAGCCAACAAACAATAACAGGTGGGCAGGGCTTTTTTATTCTTTTGGTTGATGTTGACAGATTCTTATTTAAGAGAAAGCATGCAATGGGGCGTCAAGAAAAATCTATGAAGTGCTAAAATTACAGGCATCAGTTGAGAAACCAGCTATTTATCTGCCTTTTTTTCACTTTGCATATCAACCCCAACTCTCAGCTTCCAATAAGTAGAGTTCAAGTTTGTTGTTTGTTTTTTTTAAAGTATAAGCGATAGTCTAAACTACAAAGAGGGGAATCGAAATTCGAACATGAGACCTGTGATCTGAAAACCAAGTCTGGTTTTTCCTCACTTCCTTCAACACTAACGCTGAACTAATAATTGGATTGGAGGTTTGAGGCCATTACTCCCTTGTTTCAATTGATTGATTTAGTGACATTTTTGGAAGAAATTCAAATGTGCTCTTACTCTATCTAAATTATACAACTAAAAAAGTGAGTGTCGTTATTGTTACATTTCACGAGGAAGATAATAAATTTCATCCAGATTAATCTCATCCCAAATTGTCCAAATTAAACAACTGGTGTTTCTAAATTATGTAAATCATTTGTAGTGTTAGTATTGATTTGATTGAGTCAAAGATCCGAACAAGTCACAGTATTTGATTGAGACTATTAGAAAATATTAAAAAATAGGTAGACCGTTAAAGAAAGAAAGTTGACTTCTATCAGAGAAAAAAAAAGAAAAAGAAATTTGACACTTCAAAAGGAAAAGAAAATTTATATTTCCCATGCACGCAAAACCTCCCATTAACCAGAAACAGCAATAGTAATCGATCGATCTCCACCACTTCCACTTCCATTTCCATTCCTAACTTTTCTATACAAACCCCTCTCTCTCTCTCTCTCTCTCTCTCTCTCTCTCTCTCTGATTACACCCAAATGTCAGGCCAACAAATCGATAGCCACAAAGAAGACGCCGAGATCTATCACGGCGAAGCCCTATGCAAGCAGAAGTCCCACGAGCTGCTCGACAAAATGAGCCTGCCGCGTGCCCTCCTGCCCTTAGACGATGTCCTAGAGTTCGGTTACAACCACACCTCCGGATTCGTATGGCTCAAGCAGAAGAAGAAGAAAGAGCACCGGTTCCACGCCATTGGCAAAATGGTGTCGTACGACACCGAGGTGACGGGCTTCGTCGAAGAGCATCGGATGAGGAGGCTCTCTGGGGTCAAAAGTAAGGAGCTTTTGATTTGGGTCTCGATTTCGGATATCTACGTGGACCCGAATTCGAATCCAGATAAGATCACGTTCGCCAACGGCACCGGGATCTCAAGGTCGTTCCCTGTCACGGCCTTTGGGCTTGAAGAAGAAGAGAAGAATGCTGATGGGAAAAAATGAAAGGCTTTTCTCCTTTTGGTCGAAGAAAAAAAATTAAAATATTGAATAACTTTTGTTTTGTTTTGTTTTGTTTTTTTCAATTCATTTAATATGCGCTTACTTTGTTACACTTTCATTTCATTTTCTTTATTATTTGTTTTGTATTGTATTGGTTGTTTTGGTGTTGAGCTAGGATGCCCTATGATGCAGAAGAAAAACAGAGAGGTGAGGCAGTCAATTGTTCTCTTTTTTGGATACAAAGGATATTGAAAAGAAGAATCAAACATAAGATTTCCGTGTATGGTTAAATGCTCTCAACCACTTGATAACCGCTTGAGCTACAACCACTTTACATAAGTAGATTTTCTTTATATATCTTGATGAACAACTTTTTTAAATATAAAATTTCTGTGAAAATTAAGCTTGTGATAGTCAGCGGTTGTTAATTGTTAATCTTTACAAGGATTGGGGCACCTCCGAACCTCAGGCTTTGTGTGGCTAAAGCAGAAGAAGGAGCGCAAGGTTAAAGATCACCGGCAGGACCATCGTCTAAGATGCTGAGCTCACAATGCTTGTTGAGAACGGTAGGATTAAGACGCTCACTGGTTGTGCCAATAAGGAAATGTTCGACAGGATCGGCGTCTGCTAAATCTACTTCAAAGATCTCTCTTCAAACAAGCTTACCCTTAAAACACCTACTGGCCGGGTGGAACATTCCCAGCTTCAGCATTTGAAGACGAAGATGATAAGGATGGCGGTGATCAGAAAGACAAGCACTGAAGTCTTTGCTTTTACCACTCAGGGCTTCAGAAAAGTCTAAGCATTTAGCATAAATATAATGAGGGTCAGCATGAAAGAAAAAAACCGCATACCGTTGGTTCATATAGAAAAACAGCATCAATTTACCACCATGCATGACAGATCTAAGCAGTCTTCTATACTTAGATGTTCATGGAACAAAACATCAACTATACTCCACAATACCCCATTTGTTTTCCATATTTGACCATTGTTCTTCCCCAAGAATGCCAACCATCAACAGCAAAAGCTTGCTCCAACTTTCTTCATTTTCTGCTGAGGCCAGTTCATAAATATTCCTTTCTTGATCCATTTGATTTTATTATAAATACTAGTTCTACAATGAGTCCGGGGTCCATAGAATCGTCCAAAGGAGCTTCACTTGAGTCTTTTATTTATACCACTTCAAACCGGACAACTGGATTTAATTCCAGGAAACATTTCTTGCTCCACTTAAGGGCAGATCATTGGACAAAACATTATCCACATCATTGTCCCAAATCACCATGCCCAAATTAAGTCCTTTTCTTGCTATTCTCACTGTCATATTCCAAATTTCAGTCACTCTAAATACATGGGCATGCGTATTCCCTTCCCCTTGATTAAGCAGTCCAGCAACAACTAAAACCAACGCATCAGAAAGTACCATAATTGTTAGTTGACAAAACTTTCATGAAAATTGACAATGCCCATAAGAATTTCAAGCAGGTGTCCTACCCCGGTCAGCAATCGATGAAGTTCCATTTTCCATTGCATGATAGAATTCATCATGTGCCAGGCACTTCCAATCAATCTTTCTTTGTTTCTTTTTCTTCCCTATGCTTATAATTCCAAACCCCAAGGGTTTTGAAATCCCACAGAATTTCAGATATCTCATCTTGAGGCAAACTCAAACCATCTCGTTTAATTGATCTATGCAAGTCACAGAAATATTTTGGGTCTTCAAGTCTGATGTAGTCACGTAAGAGCTGCTCATGATCCGGGATCCAATTTCTAGGAAATGGGGAGTAATCACAAGATGGAATCATAGACATGTGTGAGAACCGAACGCCTTCGATTGCATCAACAAGACCCACCCTCAATAGATCAGAATATTCAGGTGCAGAGTTGTTACTGCTCTCCCTCAGTGGACGACTGAGATCGCGTGAAGCTATTCCATAAACCTTGGCTCGTGATTTCAGTCTATACCTTGCAGCATACAGTTTAGCCAAAGAGCTACGAATCACATAGGCACAAAAACCAACAACTTTCTTGCGATTATCAGCATATTTGTACCAATCAGCCATGGTCTCCAACAACTTATTCATCTGGGAATTGGTATGAGCTTGACCAGAGTAAAGCATAGGAGTGCAGGGCAGTGGCTCAGGATCTTTATCACCCTTAACAAATGCAAGCCGCCTGAATTGGCGAATACATTGTTGTAAGCTAGCAGTAACAGAAAGCAGAGTCCCTACACCTTTTTGGCTAACCACATTACCTCCGGTCGCCGTGTACCTAAGGGTAGGGTGTATAACCCTGCGGCAAATTATATGGTCTAAGAACTGAATTCCCCTAGTTATGTGTTCAATATTCACCTTGGAGTTATCCAACCTTATCCCAAATCTTCTCTCACAAAACTCAATTATTTGCTTACGAATGTCGACTGCATCCTCTCTAGGCCCTCGGATCCCAATCAAGAAATGACCCCCATATCTAATATAATCCATTTTTCTAGTTTTCTCATTGCCACTAGAAGGAACAAACTCCGGCCAAGCCGGGTTATGACAGCCATCGTTTATCGAATTCTTCCAAATTGAATCAAGACAAGATGGCCTAAAAAACTCAACCATCTTATCTTCCATAAATTTATCCAATTCATTAAGACATACATTAGCAAGTAAAGGACTTAAAATTCCACAATGACCATAAGAAGGTACCTTAGCAGCCTCTTCAGGTGCAAAATTGAAGAACGTTCTCAACCAATACGGGTCTGGCTTCGGCTCCTTATCGTTCAAAATCTTCTTCTTCTTAGGCGCTTTCTTCTTCTTTCTGTTCTTTGGCCATTCTTCATAACCATCACTCTGTTTTCGATTCGGCGCTCTAACCGCGCATTGGATCAAACCCAGTATTTTCTTGTCCCTCACGGCCTGCTCTAAGCAACCCATCACCATATTCCTATCCACATTGTCAAAAATTTCACTGATATCGCCTCTCAGAAACCACAAGTAACCGGCGAAGTTGCTCCGAATAGTCCGAATAACCGTGTGGGCGTTCCTGCCGGGTCGAAAAGCGTGGGACTTGGGCGAGAACCGGGCCTCGAAAACAGGCTCCAGTATCATCAACAAGACCTCCTGAACGACCCGGTCCTGAAAGCAGGGCTCGTCGGACTCGAGCATAGCCTGGAGCTTACGCTTGGAGAGGAGCTCGATACTGGTCTTGTCGTTGGGGCTCCGAATGAATTGCTGGGTCTTCTTGTTCCAGTAGAAATTCCCGCGAACGACGGCATTTCGGAGGGAGAGGAGGTCATGGAGGACGTGGGAGTGGATGGCGTTGCGGGGAGGGAACGTGCCGGTCACGTGAGCACAGGAGCGTTGATAGGCCAGGACCCAGAGGTCGAATTTGGAGAGGAAGCCGGTGAGGTTGGAGAACGCGAAGGTGGGTGGGGAAGAGAAGGCCTTGACCCACAGAGCTGAGCAAATTTCAATTGGGTCTTGTTTGAGGAGCGAGTATGGGTCTTGCTGGTCTTGCTTTGAAGGCGGTCGATTTGGCGACGGTGGTGTGGAGAGGGACCATGAGAGACTGCGAGTGAGGGTTTTGAGGTAAGGGAAGTGGTGGCACTGAAGGTGTTTGATGGTTGTTCTCACTGACATTTTTGTTGGGTTGAAGACGAATGTTGAGGGACAGAGAGTCCGCAACCCTCTTCTCCCCTGCAATTTTGGCTGGTTTTGGACCGTTGGTAGTTTTGCTATTGAGGCTTTGTCTTCGCGCTTTTGAGATTGGAGGGACTTGGTCTTGGGTTTGGGCTGGGCCTTGAACCTGACTTTTTAGGTTGGGTCAATTTCTTTTCTTCATCTCCAGTGTACTAAAGCTTGGGCCTAGTACCTAATTGAATCCACTAGGACCGTAAAATGAATGTGGTCAGACTAGCCTAGCCTCATAAAGAAGAAGAACTTCCATGCACCGGGATGCCATTGTGGCAATATTCAAAGCTAATAACACACTGTCATGTGGAGAGTTAAAGGCATGATGGTGTGAGATTGATTTGAGATACCGCCACAATGGCATCTCCGATGTAAATAAATTTTTCTACATTCTTTCGTATAAATTATGCACAGTAGGTAACTAGAAAAACCTAAATGGTTCGTTTCCCCATCCTCCATAAGAGTTTAAAGCAAACTCCGACTACTTGCAAGCACCAAAAGGAAAAAAGCAGAGGGAGACAAGGCCAACATTTGAACCCAAATTACCATAAGATACATACAATAGGAAAGGCTAGTTATTTTATGCAATCTATGTATAGATTTGCACACACATCGCAAAGAGAGCCCATACTACCATTCCATGCCTGGAGTGCACGCTACGAAAACTTGAATAACCCAAGAAAATAAGTGCAAGTGCAGTGCCCCTTCATGTTATACAAGTAGAGTTTATTATACATCATCACATGCCTCTCTTCCTATTTTCCGGCTTGAAATCACACCTACTAACACACACACACACATTGACTTTCTGTATGTATGAGCACACACACACATTGACTTTCTGTATGTATGAGGAGAAATGAAACATATCCAAATCTGCAAATGTCAAAGCATTAACACACATCTCATTAACATCATGTCTCAACATGCACACCACAATTTAATTATTTAATTCATTACGAAAGAAAAAGAAAATTCTGAAGCATTTTCCTAAATGGGTTTTGATATGTATGCATCGAAATAACATAAAAATACAGAGAGAAGCTATATTGAAACTTGTCATCATCAAATGGGTTTTGATCATATCTATATATATATATCTGTCCTTTATTACATGGCTAACAAATAGTGTTTACAGTTGATCTTGTGCCACCTTTTTCATACGACCCATAAGCTTCAAGAAAGGTGGGTGAAATGAAAGATCTGAAACAAAATTCACCAAGAAAGTACAAAAACAAAAAGAAAACAAAAAATATCGTAACCCATCGATCTTGATAATCTGTTTTCATTATCACGAGATGCGCACGTCGAAGAGAACAATGAGCATTTGGACTGAAGGATCCTTCTGGTGTAGGCTAGCTATGGTTTTGCAGTGGTGGGGGCAAGGTCGCAGAAGAAGACGACGGAGTTGGGGTAACCATTGTGGCAAGGGGAGGAGCCGGAAGGAGGGACAAAACCCTTGGGCAGCATTACGGAGAAAGGCCTGCTTTTGAAGTTCTTGTTGGTTTTCTTTCTCCTCTTCTTCTGCTTGTGCCTCATCTTTCTGTGCTTCTTGCTCAGTTGATCTTGTTTGTCCAAGGGAAACGGCGTCGTGTTCTTGAGGTAGAACACTCGGTATTGGGCGGCGGTGGCGGTGGATGCGTCTGAGGGGGGTTTGTGTTGGATTTCATGGGATGATGATGAGGAGGAGGAGGAGAAGGAGGAGATGAGAGCAGAAGAGGAGGGGCTGTGGAGGAGGAGGAGGAGGAGGAAGAGAAATGTGCAGAGCATGAAACCCATGAGAGTTGAGAGGTTTTGGGTTGCTCTTGCATTTATATAAAAATGGAAAAAATGGAATTTTGAAGAACAAAAGTTGAAATGAAATTTGGAATTAATCAGATTATGGGGTTTTGATCAGAATGTGAAACTATTTATTTTAGGTATTTGGTGTATTTAGTAAATTCATCAACTTTTCTTTGGGGTAAATAGTAATTTCATAAACTTTATTTAGACACCCCAAGTGTTGAATTGAATTTCATTGGTTGGTTTTGGTTTGCACAAAATCTAAACCCAATTGATTTGGGCCATTTTCGAATTGGACTCTAAAATTGATGTGAGGATTTTTTTTTCTTTATTTTTTATTTTTGGAAAATCAAGTCGTCAAGAAAAAAAAAAAAAAAAAAAAAAAAAAAAAAGCTGAGACTCGTCCTTCCTGACCCAACTCTATCATAATTTTCCGTACAAGTCCAAGGCCTTAAATGGAAATTCCGTCGATGACGTGTTTCTTCGTGTATTTCTCCTCGTCGTGAGTCGTGTTTGTCGAATGGTCAACAAAAGCTCTCTCTCTCAAATTTACAGACAAAGAAATACAGGAGAAAGGAGTGAAGCTCCTAAACGATCGGTGGTATTGATCGCCATTCAACGTTCCCGCGAATCCAATTCCGCGCCCAAAACACACTAATCCAATCAAAATTTTCCATCACTTTCTCGGGAAAATCTCATCCAACTCGGTGCACGGTGCATCTCAGCCTCCGACTGTAGAGGCGGAGCTGAGCAGTGAGAGCGGAACCCTAAGGCGGCCGCGGCGACGACGGCGACGGTGATCGGATCGAGCATGTCGTCCAAGTCTCTACCTTACTCCAAGAAAGATGTCTACTACGACAACGCCAAGTTCCGCCATCGCTCCTTCGTCAAGGTCCTGCATTTCTTAGATCTCTCTCGTTTCTGCGCTTCTAGTTCTAGTCAGTTGGATTCACTGTTCAGATTGCGCTTAATTCTGAAAATTGATTAAATTTATTGTTTTTTCATATAGCTGAATTTCAGTTTTCTTACACTGTGGAGATTAATTAATTAGATGATGATGCCCTAGTAATTAATTATCATATTGTAAGATTGTATGGGTAGGATAGATCAAAGATGTGATTTAAAAAATGTAATTTTTTTACATCCTAATTAGTAGTTTTTCTCTATTAATTTGATTTAGCACCTTGTCTTATTTAAGTGACATAAGTTTATATGTCTTGTTTCCCAGATGATATCTCAGTCCTTACACACCAGTAACGTAAAGCATCACTGTATGAGTTGTAGCACAGGAAAGTTTCTATTTTTAATAATGATATTTGGTGTAGCATATCTTATGCTGACACACACAAGTCCCACGAATTCTGTTACTGGCGGATTTGTGAAGGGTAGTAAGAACAATTCAGTTGAGCACATTACAGGCGGTGGCATTAGATTTAGAAATATTTTCAGAAAACCACCAAGGCTTCCTCCTCAATTACCGCCTGGTGAAAAAGGTAGCACCGGTAACCTTGGTCATGAGCGTAGGAAGTTAAATTCTGACCCAAAATGGATAGCTAGGCAACAGGATGTTAAGAAGGCTTTTATTCATGCATGGTCTGGTTATAAAAAGTATGCAATGGGTTATGATGAGCTGATGCCCGTGAGCAAGCGTGGAGTTGATGGGTTAGGTGGTCTAGGTGCAACTGTTGTGGATGCCCTTGATACTGCCATGATAATGGGTGCTGATGAAGTTGTTTCCGAAGCAGGCTTATGGATTGAAGCACACCTTTCAAATAGGATTAATCAGACGGGACAAGTTAATTTATTTGAAACTACAATACGTGTTTTGGGTGGTCTTTTAAGTGCATATCATCTTAGTTCTGTGGAAAAAGGGATGGACTCAACACATAAAGGAACTAAACCAGTTGTTTATCTGGAAACTGCTAAAAACTTAGCTGATCGTCTACTATCTGGTTTTACTTCCAGTCCAACTGCTATTCCCTTTGGTGATGTTGTTCTTCGTGACCCTTCAGCGCATCCAGCTCCTGATGGTCGTAGTAGTACTTCAGAAGTTTCTTCTTTACAGCTTGAATTCAATTATCTAAGTTCAGTTTCTGGTGATCCAAAGTACAGTGTGGAAGCTATGAAGGTCTTGGAACACATGAAGACTCTACCAAAGGTGGAAGGACTGGTTCCTATCTTTATAAAGTATGAGCCTTACATCTCAAATATTTTATTAGTACTTACATCATTATTCTTTTCAACTTCTTAATTCTTGCTTATAAGTCTAGCATCTTGTTGACATTTTCCTTGTACCTAGCAGCTCTCATTAGGTCTACAGAAAATGACTTATACTATACTTGTATGATTATGATTTGATTACATACATTATACTCCATTATGATATGTTGGGTCTTATAAATAAAAACATAGAGTTGGGAATATGAAAAGGACCCCCTTGTGCTTATCTAAGAACAAAATATATGGGTTTGGGAACAAAAAAATGTTTGCTCTCAAAGGTGAGGGAGAATACCTTTTTGTTCTTCTATGAGAAATGTTCAACTTAACTGGTTGAATTCCATGTGGCCTTGATATAATTCCACCATAATAACTTCCGTAGAAGAATTTCTTAAATAATCTTTTCTGTTTCCCTTTTTTCTACAAGTCTATGTGTTAAACTCTTATAATACGAGTATTCTTATTGAGGGTGGTGCTGAAAGGTTCCTGATTCTAGGAGTTCCCTCCCTTGGTCACTTGGATACAATTATTGGTGGATATTTTGATCGTTGCTCATTTCTAAAACTGTACTTGCACAAATGTATTTATTTGTTCTTGTGAGTGAGTGTGTGTGTGTTTATCTTTATGTTTCAATTTTTTTAAAATGTATTCGGTAGGCAGCGTCTCACATGTGCCTTTTTATGTTCTCTTTGTTGATGTTGTTTATACTGTATGCAGCCCTAGCACTGGTGAATTTAGTGGAGAAAATATAAGACTGGGATCTCGCGGTGACAGCTACTATGAGTACCTACTGAAAGTTTGGCTTCAGAAAAATCGAGAAAGTAATGTTACATACCTCTATGATATGTATGAGGAAGCAATGAAGGGTGTTAGGCACCGTCTTGTTCGGAAATCAATCCCAAATGGATTGGTTTTTGTAGGGGAATTGCCTTATGGATCCGAGGGTTCTTTTAGCCCCAAAATGGATCACCTGGTAAGTTACACTCCACAAAATCTTTGGCATTTAGATAACTTATAAATTACTTGTCTATGCTATTGCTTGCTATAAGTTCTTCAAAGTCAGAAGGAAAAGGCCAACTAGGTGGACATCATGTTGCTCCACATAGGGCGGTGAAGTGTAGGTGGCATTGGATATGCTTAATCAAAGTTTTAAAGTCTAAATTTATGAATTGGCTTGTATTTTGCACAACCACAATGTATATGTATGCTTAACTTTTTGTGGTATCCTTGATAAGATGTATTTACCTGTCACTGCGCCAAGCTCATACTTGCTCTTTTGGAAATGATTCTGTGACATTTTGAACTGCCTTTTGCAGGTATGTTTTTTGCCCGGTACTCTTGCACTTGGTGCCACGAAAGGCATTACCAAGAAAAAAGCAATGACAGATAGTGTGATTAACTTTGAGGACCTAAAAAATTTGAAACTTGCAGAAGATCTGGCTAAAACATGCTTTGAGATGTATTCAGTAACCTCTACTGGTCTTGCTCCAGAAATTGCTTACTTCCATACAGAGGTTAGTTTTTGATCTACATGAGCTATATTATTTGGGAAAAAATCCGCCAAATTTTCACAATGGTCATTAAAGTAACATTCTTTGTCGTCATTCCGAACTTTCTATTGTCTATATTGTACCTGGTAACTTGACAATTTCTCTAATTGAAGCAGGAATTTTCTGAAGGAGGTCTTGATGGTGGTAACAAGAGTTCTGAATATGTGAATGACATAATCATCAAACCTGCTGATCGTCATAATCTCTTGCGTCCTGAAACTGTGGAATCATTGTTTGTCTTGTACCGCATCACAGAGGATCCAAAGTAAGCTTTTAATTTCCTCGTTATGTGTCCATCAGTTTTATTGCCCCATAAATAACACACGAGTAGAGGATAAGTCATATCCCCTTTTGGAGCACTTTCACTTATACTTGGTACTTGCAGATATCGTGAATGGGGTTGGCAGATTTTTGAAGCATTTGAGAAATATACGAGAATTGATACTGGCGGATACAGTTCTTTGGATGATGTAACTTCAATTCCTCCTCGTAAAAGAGACAAAATGGAGACGTTCTTTTTGGGCGAGACACTGAAGTATTTGTACTTGCTGTTTGGAGATAGTTCCGTCCTTCCATTGGATAAATTTGTTTTTAACACAGAAGCTCATCCTATTCCAGTAGAAGGCACTACCAAGAGGGGATGAAATTTTGTTGCACTAAAGCATCAATTCAAAGGAAAAGGAAGCAAAGCATGTATGGACAAATTATATGGTAGCAGATGTGAACTTGAATGCTCCTTCCGGACTGGCTGGTGTTTCATACATATTTATAGAGTATATCTGATTCCAGAAGACAGTAAATACCCTGGTTAAAGTTAGAGGCGGCTTAATTTGTTTCTCTTGTGCAATTCATTACGTGACAAACCTACAGGACGGAGAGTTTTTCCAGACACCCCTGTACTTGGGGGTGCACCAGATAATGACAAGATTGTATTATGTACTAATTGCTATTTTACAATTTTGATTAATTACCTAATGGGGTTTTGCCCATCAAAAATATGAAAGTGCCATATTCGGTAATCAACTCTTTCCCACTTCTTCGGTAGTATTACTGGATTCGGGGAACCAAAATCTTCAACTGGTGTAGTCACATCAAAATTTCTGTTAACATCTTATTTTACATTGCCTAAAAGTTACAAGCTATCTTCACCTCTGCGTAATTGTATCTGAATAATATTAAGTCACATCAGAATTCATATTATCACAGTCATGATGAAGAAGAAAGAGGTGATCACCATCTCGAACAACACTTATGTCATCTATTTCTGCATTCTCTGCATTAATGACTTTTGTAGGTTTGTAGCCTCCAAACTTCTCACCTGCAATGTCATAAAGTGTGAGGACAAAACTGTGCTGTTATGGAAACTGTATGCTGATCCTGTTAAGCTTTGTGTTGTTGAATATTTTCTAATTTGTAAGAATTTATAGTTCAGGTTTGTTCCTAATCCACTTTTTGAGTTAAAAAGGAAAGCTTACTGGCAACTCTGAGCAGCTCTTCCATCGAATCAGGTAGGATTATTAACTTTGCAAGCTGCATCTCTGATACACTTCCATTTTGAAAATGCATGTGGATAGTTACTCTCTTGTTGATTGGTCTCATCCCTTCTTTATCTCTTGCAGGGCTAGAAGTGGCTGAGTAGGACTTCATGGGTTCCTTTCTCAAGTGAGAGTGGAAAAACTGGGTGCCCTCGTGTCTTTTGGAATTTCCTTTACAATTCCTGGTGCTTTCCGATGTTTCTGGCTCACTAAACTCTATTCTATGTTCATCTATTCTCCTATTCTCAAAACTTCGTAAGAGGTCATTTATGCTCTTGTTTCCCTGCTGTTGTGCCAGAGCTTTTGGCGTCCAACCTCTAGTATCCGGTTTGTTTACATTGGTTCCTCCTTCAAGCAAAATTTTAATCATTTCCTTATGTCCCTGGCGAGCAGCAGAATGAAGAGCCATTTGGCCGTCCTCAGCAGCGATGTTGACATCCATTGCACATCTAGTTAAAATATCAGCCTTGCATATCTCACTCTTCTCTGTAGCCTCTGGACCTGTAAACAATGGATCTTGATGTGAATTGTCTTTGCATTGTGCTTGAGAACAGCATCCTTCTATTGGATCTGTATGTGGATATTCACAGCCCAACCCTTCTTGCCCCTTCAGTTTCTGTAAAGTAGAGTACAGACTATCAGTCTTTGGAAGAGAAGGGGTGGTGTGCATGACTGCACGTACCTTTTTTCTTTTTGAAAAACAATATTGTTTTAGTACCATAAAAATGTTGTTCATGATAATTTGCTCATCTTCCTTATTTGCTTGTACAGTGGCCATCAGGGAACTGCTGCGGAGTCGTAAAATCTGAGAAAGTTCGGTGGTCCGAACGGTGAAAGGCTGTGGCATATTACATAATACTCCTATTTCTCCCAAAGTATCATCAGCAGTTGCCTTTCCTACAACCTGTTTGGAGCATGTGAAGTCAGATGTTATCTCTATGTTCTCCAATCCAGAGAGAGTATTTTGAAATGTCAACAATCATATTTGTATCTGTGACTTACTTGCTCGTGCCCATCAATATTGCATATCATATCCTGCAACGATGGAATTTTCCCAATTGAAATTTATGTCAGAAAGCTTTTGTAAGAATAACATACGAAGATCATGTAAGAGATAAGAGTTAAGCTGGCGCACCACTGCACCTGAGACCAGTATGTAAAGATCCGTTGGAGCCTCATTTTGTAGAATTACATCTTCCCTGGGTGGAAAATACTCTGCATCTATTTCTGATACCTTAATAAAAGAATGCATGGTTTTTAGCAATCTCGTGAGAAATTTTAAAGAGAAGATGAAGGGCGAACGGGGTCTAATCCAGTGGAAAAGAACCTTGACTTGCACCATGGCATCTTAGTTGTGTGTGTGAGTTTAGACTATCACTTGTACAAAAAAAAAATGAAGGTGGAGGACATAAAATAAAATAAAAATTTACCAACTGAAAGAGGAAGTCATGAGAAACTCCTTGAAAGAGAGAGACTTTTTGAACAACGGGGAAGAAGAGATGTTGTGCAATGCTTGAACGAATGGCTTTTGGCAAACCATTTAAGGTCTCTTGCTGCTTCAATCCTTCTGTCTTGAACTTAAGGCATATATGTGACAACATTTGATCCTGAATGCGTTGGGGCAAGTCATTTCTTGCTGCAAATTCCGTAGCAGCTCTCACTGTGTCCCTCTATAAAACACCAAAAGCAAAGCTTCGTCATCTAATATTTTATTTTGGATAAAAAAATATTATAAAAAAAATAAATATATTTTTGAGTTGGGTTTCGATTTGAAGAAATACTCTCAAAATGTGGGGTAGACAAGAGAGCTTACAAAGGAACAGATATTTGGACCTTTTTCTAAAACTTTGATTGTGACTGGGGGATTATTTTGGTCCATTTACAACCTGCCTAGTGCCTAACCTTTGGGACTCTCTTAGGAGCTGGTTCATTACTTTGAGCTGTAGTTGTTCTCTAGAAAAGGGACTTTTACTTACAAAGATTCTGGTTCTGCTGGTCCAATGAACCACAAGGTTTGTCATGTTTCCAATGAGGTAAGATGTCAATCCCAAGTTGAAGAGCATGTAGAAAATGTCAAACAGCATCTCCCTGGGGTTCTCAGCATGCAAGTCCCCATAGCCAGTTGTTGTTAGTGTTGTTATAGACCAGTATATTGCAGTCACATATCTGTTCCAGAGACTGTCCTCTTTGAAATTTGGGTACACTGCACCAATCCAGGTTCGTTTCGGGTCAGGATATCGGTCTGCGATCAGATAGTTGAAGCATCCAGCACAGTGTACTGCAAAAAGGGTTACCTGCAATTTGGATGCCACATAAATTCAGAAATGGTGAACAGCCAAAATGACAAGAGAAGAGTTATGGTGCATGCGTTGGGGTTTTAAGGGCTTACAGATATGAGCTTTGTGCACCGAATCCAGAAGTAATTGAACCGAATGTCCTTCTCAAGTCTGAAGGGAAAGCAAACCGGCTAGTAAGTATTGTGTTTGTCAATACTTGCATCAAAACAATTGGAAAATTTGAAGAAAACCAAGGCAAAGCCACAGGATTAGGATGGAAGAGTATGGTGATGAACCTTGCAAACAGGAAGCTGACACGTCTGAGGCGCCAGAGCCTGAGCATGTTGAGTAGTTTGAAGCCAAGTTCGCTGCCATGATTTGTGAAGAGGAGGCTAATTGACTGAAATGGTGCAGTGGAGCACACATCGAAAATGAACCAGGTTGAGATGTACCTGTTGGTTGTGTGAAAGAACAAAAGAAAGAGGATTATTTATTCTTGTAAAGAAACTAAAACACATCTCCTGGTTGTTGTAACTCAGAATGAAGTACTAACGCACCTCATTGCGATTTGCTTGGGATTGTCAACGAGAAGATAAGAGTGGCTGTCGAGATAGGCAACAAAGAAAGTGAGGAAGATGTCAATGGCAAAGAAGCCATTGACAATGTTGTCAATGACGAAAAGAGCATCTTGCTTGTAAGGCAGAAATGCAAACTCGAACGGGCAAATCCAGGAGGAGTAAATGACTAGAAGAACAAGTAGCATCTCCCAAGCCCTGAAAAATGAGGATCATATTTAGAGAGAGGGCATGAATTTGATGAGCAGCAGCAGCAGCAGAGTAGAAAGAAACAAATAACATTAAAGAAGAAGTAATGTGACAAAGAAATGAATAAACGATCATCACCTATAGCGAGGATTGTATGGGGATATAATGTATTTCCTGAGCTTAGTTGACTGGTTGATTCTGGCTCCAAGGGAGGGCAGAAGATCACTAGAGAAGAAGCTGCTCTGAGCAACGCTATCTATTTGAAATTCATCAATACAGAACCTCTTGAAGAAGTTTTTTGGGCAGGAAAGTGACATCTTTTTCTCTTCTTTTTTTTTGGTTTTTCTGGTCTTTGCTTAACTCTTCAAGACTTGTAAAGTAAAAGGGTTGGTTGGTTGCTAACTTGCTAGCTAGCTATAAGATTTTTGGGGTATTAATAGTAAGGCCACTTGGCTTCGGTGACACATCTCCTACTTCCCCTCCTTCCCCTGTAGCCTTTTTCGGTACCTTTTCGGTAACACACCTGTGACATATTTGCTTTTGAAACGAATATGCTGGAAGCTTAATTGTGCAGGTGGGCTAGTAGTGCTGGTTACGGATGGGAAAGCTAGAAGCAAAAAGATGAAAGAAGACTTTCCATCTTGTTTGAGCAAGAAAGGTAAGGAAATACAAACACGAAAAGAACAAGTTGTAGAGAGAGAGAGAAGAAGCAGGGGAAGTGGCAGACATGAGTAGCTTAATTTCTGTAATGCAGCAGCAGAAACAGCAGCAGCTGTAGATAAGCTCTTGCTAGTGATAGAGCAACAACAAGGAAGATGATAATGGTGGTTTTTGTTGTGTAAAGGTGGGGGTGGCGGGTGCGCCATCATTGATAAACATGTGGAGTTTTTGCTCCAACAAGCGGCTGCTCAGCAAGGACAGATTTCACTTGGGTTTTAAGCATTTTGGCAATTCCCCTGATTGGTGTGTCAAAATTTTTTTTTTTTCAAGTATTCATTTCAAAATGTGAGAGAATGGACCAGAGGCTGATCTGGTGCAGTTCACTTCATGGATTCCACGTGGACCAATCAGAAGTTGTTCAAGAGGTGACACACTTTTGCAAAAATCCTCCAAAGAACAAAACCCAAGTTTTTATTTATTTATTTATTTTTAAACTCATGATTATTTAGCTCCCTTCATATTCATATTAAGAGGCCAAGAGCAGACTTGCTTGCTGCTGAGGTTGTTTGTATACGGAACTCAATCAGAGCCATAAAAGTGTGAGATGGATTGGTGCCATATATCCAAATTCCTCTATATCTTTTTCCTTCTACTTTGGTTTTAGCTCTACAAGGTTCTCACCGACTGGTTTTTTGTGTGTGGCTGCACTGCATGTTGTTTTGATTTAACATGCATCTGATCTAGTTTAATTAATTAAATAATCAAGGATTTCATCGGACGGTCAGGATGAGGTAATCTTTTTGAGTTCGAATGGTAATCTCCCATCTGCAAACCTCCAACTCATCATGTAAATGTAATGCAGATTTGCTGGCTCCATGAAATCCTTTTGAGTGCATGAAATTTTGATGGCCAATGTGGCATATGGGATGTTGGCTTTGTATTTATCCTGGAAAAGCAGGACTGGTTGTCAACAAAAAGTTGAAGAGACAACATATTATGCATGTCTTCATTCAGAATTATCCCCCTCTGATTTAATTGGCTGCAGATACTAATTACTTGGGCTGATTGTTTTCTAATTCTCTATCTCTCAAGGACTAATCCGTGTCATTGAATTAATGACCCCTCCATCTCTCAAGGAATGATCTAGTTTTAGAAGATAATCAAGGTTTAGACAAATAACCCCTCCATCTCTCAAGGACTAATCCGTGTCATTGAATTAATGATGATGTGATTATTGGCTTGAAGCCCACATGGTGCTTGCAGTACTAAGCCAACCTTGCAGAGGGTGAAAGGACAACATGTGACAAGTTCTTGGGTCCCGTGGGTGGACCACTTCACTCCTCCGGCTATACACACCAAAGGGAACTTCCTATATTTGTATAGCACTTTCGTCGAATCTAAATGTAGGAAGGTTCTTTTTATTTGTGTATGTGGCCGGACGGATAATCATAGTGGATCGATCGGACTCAAATATTTCTTCAGAATATACTGATGTCTCTTTAAGCTTAAATTAAAGTCACGTGAGCGACGTGTGCGTGTTTGGGTTTGATTAGGCAGAAACCCCACCACTCTTCCATTGTTAGTGACTATGTCTATAGCAATTTGTGTAATTATAGGGACTCTCTCTCCTCATTGGACCTCCTTGTTTCTGGGGAGCCTCTCAATGGCAAGGACTATGTGGCTTTGTATACTTCCTTTGCCTCTCTCTCTCTCTCTCTCTCTCTCTCTCTCACACACACGGAAAAGGTGTATTGGGTCGATCGTGAAATTTGTGAAGAAAATAAAGAAATTTTTTTTAGGGTTTACATGCCAATCCTATTCAAGGTTTCTCATGAACATGTACCACATAAACCAAACATCAGTTTACCAAAACACCATTTGAGGCATATTAGAATTAAGGAAGACAATTCTCACACCAAATAAGAGTAATTAACTAAATTAATTAGGCAATATTTGGCGGTAATGCATGCAAAATGAAGAAGAAAAATCGTGAACGTAACGTGGCCAGCATACATAGCATTCAAACCAAAAGTTTCATGTGACCATATCACATATAATTAACAAGTTTGAACTTTTTTGGTGCCACACATGCTTCATGGCCCATGATGCATATATCTTAGGGTTGAAAAATCGAAGAAGTAAACAAATTAAATTATGCAAAAAAGGAGAGAAAGAAGTTAGTTCCCGTGATGGTTGGTTGGGTTTGGGAGGTCAGGGGCAATAGCCAATTTTGTGGGCAAGTTAAAGGTGGTCCAGCATCTATGTAAAATGATGGTTCATCTCATAAGCTTGCGCTATAATCAATACTTGTACATCATGTGGTCCTTAACTGCGTTTCAGGCCGCCTTGGAAACTAGTGTACTTCAACTTTCCAGCATTATACCCGATTAGGTGCCTTGCCTAGCTAATATATTTATAACTAATGGTGCTGAATGGTGATTAGGATGTTTATCCGTAGGGAGGGAAATGTTGTTTTTCCAGACTTGTCTTGCATCGTATGTTATCAGACTATGAACATTGCTAAGTTTTCGTTCATATTTGTATAAACGTGCAGCTAAGCTAGCCATCATTATCATGCACATGAATAAAAAGTGACCAGAAGTCTTTAACTCTTGAAGATCGTGGGTCTTGATGAATATGGTAATGTTGACCAAATACCCAAATGCTTGGAATGAAAGATTTCTTTGAAGGGCATAATTGGTCTCGTTTAGCATGCATTGCATGGAGTTGTAGGGTATGGCGGTATTAATTAGGTCAGATGCCTTGATCAAATTCATTTCCTCTAGACATGATACTCTTCAGATTGCTATGATTATGGACAAAGACACGAAGGAAAAGAGCATAGCTTTTGCTTTACATGTCTTATATTTTCAAGTAAAAAAGAGGTCCGTAATTCGTAGGGTCACATTGCCAAATTGCCAAGTCCCTTAATGGATGCCTTTCCAAATGCGGGTCAGATATCACTCCCTCAAAGCTTCATGATACCTCTTCTCCCACTCCCAATTTATCTTAAACAAATAGCTCCACCACTAATCTAAGGTGTCGTTGATCATGTTGACTTAATTAGTTTGACCACGCCCGGTTAACCATTGTGCGTAAAGCATCCGTTGATGACGTTGACGTCTTGGTGAGTTTGACCGGTGTAGGTATCATGTATAGGAAAAGAGTTTCAGAACTTGTTCGGAGCTACTTTGCCTGTTTTTATTGTGAAAATGATGTAGAACATGTTCCAAACCACTTAAAGTGATGAGCCAGCTCGACCCATTACTTGGTTTAAAAAGAGGCACACCCAAGAAAACTGATGACCACATTGCCGTGAAGATACGAATGATGCTTCCATTTCATTTTGATGCACAAAGTTTCTTCCAAAAATTTGGTGCAAGCCCGTCTTCTCATCAATTCTCCCATGTGAAGAATTGTTTCATGGTCCACAAATATTTTAGGTTAATGGCTGGGAGTTCGTACTTATCTACTTATCCCTAAGAGAGTTAGGAGGTGATATAGATATGTGATCATCAATTATAAAGGGACCAACATTAGAAAGGGATATAGCAGAATATAATATGAAATTAGATCCCCTAAACCCCAATCACATAAGGCCAAATGTGGATGATTACAGAAAATGGCGTTTTGTTGTTGTTTTGATGAGATTCATATACACGCACGAAACGGAATGTTTTTGGCAGCTGGGGGGAATATTGGAGATGGCAATTTTAGTTTGAATTGATGAAAAGGGGAATTTGGGCTTTTATTTGACTTTGAAACCATGTATGTATATATATATATATATATATATGGAAATATTTTTCTCACCACTTTAATCCTTACCACCTTTTTCAACACTTGACACATGTTCATGGGTCTAACGATAGTTAATTTTTTATTTAAATTTTCTGGAACCATAATTATACTTAGAGCATCCACAGTGGGGGGTGTATTTTCGGGAGTGTAAAGCCGTTTTTGCATCCATTTTACACCTCCAGGGGGTGTAAATACGTTTTTTGCTCCAATGGGAAACGATGTAAATCCAAATATGCATATTCGATTTGTTTGTGATAATTCTTTTGTGTGTTTTTTTTTGTATGTTTTAACTTTTTAAAATTAATTTTGTGTGTGTTAGATTTATTTTATTTTTCCAAATAAATGGACCTTAAAAAATTTAAATTTGGAGAACATATGATTTTACCTACAAACTAACATAAAAATATCTATGCAAAAATCTGGGCCATTGGAAGTGCAATGCAAATTGCATGAAATCTGGGCCTTCCATTTTGAATTACAATCCTTCTTTTTCCCTTTTTCTTTTGTGGGTCCCACCTACAAAGGATGTAAAAAAAGATGCAAATGTGCATCTAATTTTACATCTCCATGATTGTGATGTATTTTTACAATCATTTACATCTTCCCATTGGAGATGATTCCGGTGACAAATGGTGTATATTTAACATACACCCCCTTATACACCCTCCCGTTGTGAATGCTCTTATGGACACGTGTTAAATGTTGAGAAGAATGATGAAAGTACACTTTGAATTAAAGTGGTGAGTTAAAATATCCTCATATATACATGCATGCTTATTAATTTCTAATTAAGTGATGAATTAAATTGAAGATGCTCTTGCCAACATGTACACCAAGACAAAGTAACAATTAAACT